ATATGACTAATTTCATTCAAAAGTATAGGATTCATCGCTATTTACAGTGTTTTCGGCTGATACAATATGTTCACGAAGATGGCACATGAAGCATTCATGAAGATAAAACAGGTTAGGCGTAGATCTTGGGGGGGGGGGCTACCACATATATATATATATATGGCGGCTTGAAAATGATAGGTTCCGTAAACAATCTTACAGGACTCCAATCACCAGTCTTTTGAAGCTGCTGCAGGGGTCATGATGTTGCTGCCTACCATTGCTTCTGCCCTGTGGCCATAACTAGTGCAGTTCCGCTTGCTCCTGTGTAGCTTGACGGCTACAAGCACAAATGTGAATGATGCAAAATTTAATCCATCTCTCCTACTATGCATGAGGATTATCTTGTGGAATTTGGCGACAAGCGAGACTTAGGTGGGAATTATGTCGGCTCATTGTCCCGTGCGTGCTCCTGGCCGCTGTGGGCCTTACACTGCTGTTTGATAAAGCAATCATCGCAAACAGCCCTTCCAGGAAGAAGGCCAGCACTTTTTCACGACGTGCCGAATCCGCTTCATTGACATGAGCTCGACACAGCATGTTCGCCAACAGCAAGTTAGGAATCAAAGCAGCTGCTCTGCAAAAAAAAATCAAAGCACGACATGCTGGGTCGGCACTTCGTGTTTCAGACGCTTCTGCGCAAACTCCACGACAGCCTGAGCTCCAGGAAGCGATGAAGGGATAGAGGCGAGTCCTTGTTGAAGGTCGACAGAGCTTTACGCTTTATTGGCATGAGCGTCGTAGCAACCGGCAAAACATCTTAAAGTACAGCTCGGCAGCGGAACACTGGATGCGCTGCTTCGTCAGTCGGGCAAATGAAAGAAAGACACTTTTGGAATAACTGCTGGTACCGCCCACAAGCCCTACTTTTGTCGGCGAGGCGCTACTTCAGGTGCTTCCCGCTTGCGTGAGGAAAAACTTCGGGCCTTTCAGAGTTCGAAAATGAATGACTTGAGATGTCGTGATCATTCAGCTTGTACGATTGATGCTTAAGGCTATGTCGCACCGGATTATTACAAAAAGCAGTTAGTGCGCAGGCTTTGGACGGCTCTGGTGCTAGGGCTAGGAATTGCGGAAAATGGTGCGTGTGGCAGGACAGCTTACCAGGTACAATAAGGGCTTGCGCAGCAAGGGTCATGTACTGCTGCAATACCTGCTGCAGGACGTTCTCCGTGTTGACATGCTGATTCCTATTTCATTCTCTTGGTGATCCACTTCTCAACAATACCCTGCTCATGTGACAATACAACTGCCATACAACCTAGCTTCTGCCTCCGTGCACTTTGTCACGAATCGGCCCGGATTCCGCGGCCGTCGTGGCGCGTGTAGCCTGGCATGCAGGCAGGGAGGCCCGCGAACGAAAATCAGTCCATCATACATACAGGCACCGATCAGAGCTGGGCTGTGCCTGAGTTGGGCATGGCTTGCGAGAATCGCGCACCTTCCAACAGGTAGCTAGGCTGGGTTGCTGTTAAGGAACTTAATCTCAATTTACACTAATATGGGTACATTGTAAATAGTAGGGCTTCCTCAGTCTAGTGACTTAATTTAAGTTCTCTAAAAGCAACACAGCAGGTAGTCTTCTGTGCGCGCAAGACTGAAAAGAAAAGCAACAGCCTGGTGGTGCAGGTCCTGAAAGATGCGCCATGGGGGCCTTGCGACAAGGAAGCACCGTATAATGTAACCCCCTGATTAATAGACCCCCTCCTTTGAAGGGCCTTGGTACTAGGATTATAATCCTTATTAGGACGCGGACTGTATTAATCATGGGTCTGGGTTAGAGGTTCTAAGTTATAAGGATATGTCGGGGGAGGGAAAGCCAAATGGAAGCTACTATAATGGAAAATCAGATGGAAAAGAAAGAGAATACGTCATGGAAACTGGGATTTATGTGGGCTGCATCCGGCTATTCCGGCAACTTCACCGCCTCCATTGCCGAATTGAAACGGACAGGATCTGGAGCGACCTTTCTCAACAGCTGACCATAGCATTGCTGCAGAGACCTATGCTCTCCACGGAAATCTCAAAACATAATATATATATATATCCCATTACAGTAGTTCCCATTTGATTTTCCATTATCCCCCTATAACCTCTATATAACCCCATATTTGTCCTCATATTCCCTAAGGCTCCAGCTCTCCAGTTGCTACGTGCCTGTAAAGCCGACAAAGTGACGCTCTCTGCCGCAAGGCATCTTCCATGCAATGCAGGTACGCCTCAGACCGTCCGCCAGGGACACTACCCATAGTGGCAACGGCGCCGCCGGCCGGGCTGCCACCATAAACGACAGATGGCCTGGCAATAAGAGGTCGTCGCAGGCCAGCTGCTATGGACGAACTTCTGCCAAGGCTTGCACGAGGACTCGTGAGGCACCCCCTTGCGCCGATTTGGCCTCGGACAGGAGTCCCATGAAAAATCTGCTTGCCCGCACCCAAGAGAATGAGAACCTGACACCTCCGTGCTACGCGAAGTAGAGGGAACATTTCTCCCAACCACCTTGCAAAACTGCGTCTTGCCAGCTTTACAGCCTGTCCCTGTAGAATATAGACTGCAAGACAGCGCCTGACGTGAGACCAGCAGCCTCTCCTGATCGACGTCCTGAACGCGATGCTTCGCACATTGAAGTTTCGGATGCAAGCAAGAGCAGGCACGTGCAGGCACCTTCGTCAGTAGTCAGAACACAAGGGAAGCATCGGCTCATGATTTACGCTGTTCTGTCAACTTGCTGAGCTTTGCGCCTGGAGCTGTTTCTCCAAATCCGCAATGTCCTGCCACGACCTGTCACAGCATCTTTCAGACAGTGAAACAAGACGTCACAAGACCACTACGGAACGCCGCAGAAGGAGCTACTGCTGAGCCAACACCGCCAGGGTTGCCTGAGCCTCTCCGAGCGCATCGACAGCAGCTTTGCTTTGTCTGCCTTCTGTATTCATGCTGATACTCTGGCCCCTAAAACCCTTTGAAAAATATTGGTATATAGGGTCCCTTATTAAAGCCATTAGGGAAGATATCAAATATCCCAGGGGCCTACCCAGTACTGTTGAAGTGTGAGATGGCTACACTCTGCCCAAGCCTCAATGGCCGTCAGCACCAGGCCCCTGTCTTGCTCACACTGGCGCTGCTTCTCCAGAAGTGCCTGGCGCTGGGCAAAGTGGCACAGCCCTTTCTTGTGCAAAGACTGTACAAGTACAAAGGAACTCGAGGGACAACAAGGACTGGGAATGGAAAACAAGATGGAAGCTACTATAATGGAAAAGAAAATGGAAACTACTATAATGGAGAATCAAATGGAAAAGAAAACGGAAACTACTATAATGGAGAATCAAATGGAAAAAGAAATGGAAACTGAAGTTATCATGGGTTATATTGGGCTTACATTAACTGCGACGGCAGAGGAATGTCTGTTGCCGATAGTCCCCTCAACTTTGCTCACCGGAATCATCCCACCCCCAATATAACCCATAGTAACTTCAGTTTCCGCTTAATTTTCCATGTTCTTTTCCATTTGATTCTCCATTATAGCAGTTTCCATTTTCTTTTCCATTTGATTCTCCATTATAGCAGTTTCCATTCTCTTTTCCATTAGAATAGCTTCCATCTTGTTTTCCATTTCCAGTCACTCTTCAGCCAGACAAAACAACAGGCACCCAAGCAGCCAACCTGCTGCTTCATCTGGGCTTCAAGCTTCTGCTGGAAGACCCTTAGATAAAACATTGCAAACTGCAAGATTGATGCGCAAACGTCCTAGATGCCTCAAACGGCATTTATCAGATCCGCAGTTCACAACTGCTTTGTGACTCATGTGATCAATCAGCCAGCTCAACCTGTGATCTCAGCCTATCTGCATGCACGAAGAAATGATCTGAAAACCCCACAAACACCCCTTGCGCGCTGTATCTGGGCCGCCTTTGTTTCATGATGCAATGTTTCATACTTGAGGATGTCCAAGGCTCCGCTCCAGCTTGCCACGAAGCTCCTTCCGGACGCAGACAAAAAAGGAGCACACGAAGATCATGCGAAGGACTTGGAATAATGCTAGGGCATACTAGGGCCGCAAAACAAAACACTGCACTTATGCAGGTCCTGAAAACATTTAAACTTAGGCGTTGTTTGCGCCGATCAGCGACGTGCAGTGCAAAAACTCTGTTGCTTCAGTTGCCTGCAACACAAAAATGTGTATTATGGCAAGTTGGTGTTATATAGGGAGAACGGAAAAGAAAAACTACTATGGTATATTGGGGTTCCCCGCGTGCACTCTCTGCGCATCTGCTTCCTCTCAAGTGAGCTGATGCTAAAGATCCCGTCCATATTGATTCCCACTCTTTTGGCACATCACGAGAATACTGGTTGTCTGTACCAGTACCGCATTTTGTCCTTCATGTTTGAGTATAATCATGACCGGACATCTATCTTGTCTTTCCATGTGCTGACCTCCTTTCGCTTACTGCACTCATCTTTCAGAAATAAGTAAACAATAATGATATTGACACTGGCTCAAGTAGGACTTCGCTGTAGCGTATCGTGCTCTCGTTCTCAACTGGAGGTTCAGCTGGCCTCAACTTCCTTCTGGTCCTTGAGAAGCAGCTCCCTTTCGGCTTTGACCTGGCAAGGGTCTCCACATTGAGAACCGTGCTTGTTCAGGAAGTTTGGAAGACTCTCTGCAAGGAACTTCAAACTGTCACCTAGTGCACAGCCTAACTAATCACCATAGAATCAGAGCCTTTGTCAGCACATCACGCCGCTCTTCTTGGAGATCAGAGTACCTTGGCAAAGCAGAGCTAGCCATCTCCAGCTGGCGAATCATGTGGACCTGCAGGCTACCCCTATTGGGGCATGCTACACGCGAGGACTCTCTCACTGGCGGTTTTACGCACATACCACTGGGTTCACCAACGGCACGGGCATGCGCCGCATCTCCTAGCAAAACAATAGCACCAGCTACTGCTCACAGCGGTCCACGAAGCTTGACTCATTTTTGTCCTTGTCTCCCAAGCCGCAGGCTTGACGAAGCGCATCCAGATCCTGAGCGCGTCGCAAGTTGCCCCCATGCTAAACTTCATCCCACATTGGCCTTGCGGCAAGCCCAGAGATCGCACAAACATGCCCTCTACTCACTCTAGTTAAAGATTGCGTCACATGAGCATGGCAGGAAGAAGGCCTCCTCCACAGTTTTCACTTCTCGCGTTACGAAAACCAATTCATCCTGACATCAATCATTGCAGCACGGGACAAGTCTCATGCATTTCATAGACGCACTGCCCCACCTGCAAATAGGAGATTCGGCGCTTGGTGGCAGCGCTTTGTGCCTCCATGCTGCGGTGGCGTTCCTGAACCTCAGGGCACCACAAATGCACCAGGGCAAGAGACCTCCAAGGCCAAAGTGACATGAGCTACGGTCTTAACTCCTAGCATTCCCCTCGATAACCTCTATAATACTCCACTATATATTCCCCGACACAACTCCTTAGTGTAGACTATAGCTCACATCGGAGATTAGCAAAACACTTCTCAGAAGTCACCTCGTCCAGGCGTCCTTTGGCCGCTCGCAACGCCTCCTCCACAGCTCCGCAATCATGCTGGGTTGCGTTGAGGGGATTTCCTCAAAATTAGGGAGCCCTTAGCGACCCCCCGGGATATGCGAAACAAGAGGCTCGAATAGGGTGTATGTTGATAACAACTCCTACATCACCGAGCCTCCAGCTCCCTTCGCCGGCCAAGCCTCCGTGATCAGAGGTGAGGGCATAGCTCTCCTAATACGAGCTATGCAGCTTTGAAACGTGCCAGCAGCACTGACTTTCTAGCCGCTGGCGCTCCTGGAGAACCTGACGAAGGAGACAGCTTCAACCCTACAAAATAGTAGAGCCTTGCAACAGACAACTTCACTGCTGGCATCATTGGGATTGTAGGGTGCGTACATATATATATATTGTAGATATACATATCATATTGGGGTTCTATGGAAAAGAAAATACTATAGTGTATTGGGGTTAGCCCCAGCTTTGGGCCTCTTCGCAAAGCTTTTGCAGCTCACCGGGCCCCTAAGCTGCATGCTCAGAGTTTTGTGCATTGAGGCTAGGACATATACTCCACAGCATCCTTGAGAGCTCGAAAAATTGGAATTCTGCTCCGGGTCCAACGACGTGAACATCAACCCTGTTATCTTTTGTTGTTATCCAAGGCCGCCGTGGTCAACCAATGGCGTATCAGGTAGTGTACAGTGTATAGTATGTCTGCCCTTGCAAGAAACACCGCAGCTGACACCCTGCCTGCAAGCTGAGGTTGACGCAGCTCGGGAGACAAGCTTCAGAACAGTGGCGAGTTGGCCAAGCTTCGGCAGCCTGGCATGTTACAGCTTGTGTGGGTGTGTTCAACATGTAACATGACCAAACAGCAAACCACGGCTGCGCGCACGTCTCGGGCATCTTCGTGGTCTCCATCCGGTCTTGCCCTGCTCAGAAGATCTGCTGTTATCGATTACACAGACACCCAATTCAGCTGCTTTATTCCACCGGCAATATGCAGAGCCGTACAACAACTGCGCCTGCAGTGGTGTGATGGATAGAGTTCCAGTGATCCCTGCTACTTGCACGTCAGGACCCTGTCCAACCTTCTCCAAGCATCGGCAACGGTCGCGGTGTTGAGTCACGGCCACCTTTGTATGGAGGGATGCTGGTGATGCACACATTCCTACGTGACCTTTGGTTTACTGCAGCCAAATTTGAGCTTTAGAATTGAACGGAAGGATGATTGATAGACATGTCCCGCTGAGCTTCCGCACCTGAACCACACATGATAGCTGACAAAAAACACCAACAACTGCCAACAAGCGAGGCCAGAATACAATCTCAGCTCAAACTGGCAAAAGCCAGGAGAGCGCCAGCAGACTGGCAACATGCATCATTCCAAGGCCCGCACGTAGAGGAGAGGCCCTCAGGTTCATTTCAAGTCAACTCCGTGAGGGAATCAGAACGCACAGCACATGCGCAAACGTACGCTCCGCGAACATTCCTGCATGTTGTCGCCAGGGCAAGCATGCAGCACCTGCTTGGCTGGTCTGCAAACACATATCGCATGCACCCTGAGCATGCCACTGTGGCAAGCTGCGCTCTGTTTCTGTAAATAGACCTTCCAAGAAACAGAGGCGCCTAGCTCTATAAAGCAGAACACCCACAAGCAAATCCTGTCTCGGAACGCAAGCTCCCAAACACGGCAAAGACTCCCCCCGTGCGAAGATTGCCTCCATCACGACCCACTTTGACACACACAGCTCTGGCGGCAAGCCTGCAGGCGGTCCTCGAAAACTGGCACTGGTCTCGACCGTGCTGAACTCCTCCAGGAAGTGCCAGGACACAGGCACAAACTAAGCAATGACACGGCATGAAACTGTCTGGTAGTAGCTTGTCACATTGCTGATTCTTCTCGGTTTATTCGTGAAAGCTCGCATCTAGTGACAAACGGAACATACCACGGTTGGACCCGCTGTAACAGAAAGTGCCTTGTTTCTGTCAGCTCAACTCCTGCAAATACGTTTCCAAAAATACCTCATCCAGAAGGGTACCGTCACATAGTTACGTCGAGACAAAACTTTCTCACCCAAAAGCACATGCAACTCTTGAACTCCGGCCAGATTGAAATTGAAATGACTCATGTGTCTCATCTAGTCATTGGCTGGCTTGATGTGTCAGATGTGTGGCACAAAGACATGACAAAGCAGATGACGCTCAACCCTACCATGTTTCACGTGACACCAGCATGGCGGCCCATGTCACGTATATCTTGTGCTCCCAGCCACCTCCTTCTGCGGCCTGGACTTGACAAGCAGCTCCACACCTGGAGCAAGCTTCGGTGATAGTTTGGCAGATGTGGAAAGCTTTCGAATGCGAATTACCTGACCTACATCACCTGCTGCCATTACGTCAGCGCCCGGCGCGCAGCCAAGCTTGTTTGCTGCTCGGGGTGCAGCTCCACCGGCAAGGGTTGCCCGTTTTTGGCCTGTGGTAGCACTTTTAAAATTGCAGCCGTTCGAGATCAAACCGAACGTCGACATGAAGACTAGTAGCTTGCATTGAACATCATGAGAGAGGGCACTGGGATGTTGTGGTCAGGTTTCCAGCACCCAAGCTTGCCGCTAAAAACATGAATGTGTCCTGGTCTGCAAGGGTCATCGCGCAGATGAACTCTCGCAGCCTGGCCAACTTTGCTAGAAACAGAGTCAAAACAAAGGGATCTGCTAGTCAGTTGCTATGCGCTCCTTGACAACCCACGCAAATACTGTCGTAAACTGATGCCCGGTCCACGACAAGCGACCATCACGGTCCAAGTCTGAAAGGTCCCAAATCGTCTCTAGCAACTGCTCCTGCTGGCTCACAGCATGTGGGATTGAACAAGAACTTCGAAAAGGCATGTTTTACGTTTGCTGTGATGGAAAACACTCAGCTCTAACCAGCTCTCCTGTAAGCCTGTGCGTCGCAAAAGCCTCTGGCTTTCTGCGGCATCAACAAACCCATCTGGACCGCATGACCTTGCCAGCTGGGAAGGTATTGCACACAAAGTGCATACAAATTCCTTAAGAAGCGGCGGCAACATCAGTTTCGGCCCAGCCTCTCGAAGCTTTGAGCTAATCGTTCACAGTCGTCCTGCTCAGCCATTCAAAATGCAGCCCGCTAGACTCTGGAGATGCGACTGTTTGACCACACGCACTGCAACACTCATCCATCAGCATGCAATACCTCAGCGGCTAGAGCTACACATCAGGCGGGCATCACGTCGCGCAGGGGAACCTCGGCAAGCACCGGAATGCTGCTGCTTGAAGCCACATCTGCCATGGCCGGCTGCCAACATCCGTGACTTTCGAGCACGGCTTGATGGCTACTTGAATTTTGCCTAAAACATGAAACTTTCGACGCTAACTTTAAACCGCGTGAAAATTGCATGCTCGCTGGTGTAGTTGACGCGGGCGGTTCGTCCTGGTGAGTTCAAGAATGGCTGGGGTCTCACCTGCGGGGCTTTGGAAATCGAATTGAGAAAGCAAGGTGCGTGCCCACATCCTCCGTCAATCTGGTCACGCACAAATCTTCATATAAAAGGCATGGGCCACACGTGTCCATATTCGCACAGAAACTGGCCTTATCTATTGCCCGAGCAAACTTTTGATGTCGAATACTAAATCACACACGTCATAAGGCAAAAGTCACTGCCAGCTCCGGATCGTCCTCCTTGGCACTCTTTGAACCCGTCTGCGCATGCCCATGTCCAAAGCAGAACAAATGCAATCCGCAGTGCTCTCGCGTTCAGCCAGGATTAATGGTGAATGGTGTCATGCTTCAGTGTGCACGTCCTTTGGCTCTCCCTGGCATCCGTGGCACGAGTAGCATATTTGCACCTCCCCCAGAATAACCGCCCACATCAGCAAACACAGAGCTTCAGCCGAAACCAACAAATCTCAGCCACAGCCACTGGTTCCTTTCCAAAATGCTGAAAAACAGATGCTTGCTCAATCTGAAGGGGGGCGGCTCTGAAACTTTTGGAAGCCATTTGCTGTGAGAGCTGGCACCGGACAAGACAACATGTGGGCAGCCGCTCGGCATGCACAAGCTACGCATAACCTGCTAAGGCAAAATTCCTGTGCATGAGGCCTCCCGAAAACCATCTTAGGCCAGGAAAGCTATGCTGCAAGCCCTCATGGCTCACAGACAGAAACTGCAGACACTACGCCTAACACCAATGCAGCGGTATTGATGTCCGCTTTGGCATTCACCCAGGTGGCCCAGATTGTCAAAACTGGGTCATGTGAGTTTTACTCTGTAGCCTCCGAAGAAATCGCGGAACTCTGGGGCATAATTCCAACCTGAAAGTTTGGGGCTTGGGGGGAGGGGGGTGACGGGCAAGTGCAGTAAGATGGCCGTGCTCATCACCCGAACAGGACATCTCACTGAGATGCCTGGAGCTCAAAAGAGGAAGTGCGCGAGGTCAAGTTTGCTGCGTAGCACTTACCACGGTGGGTTCACTTGGGAGAATGGATGCCATCAGGTCAAAATGCAGCAGCTTTTATTAAAGGAGGCCTTACATGTGTGGATCATGCGGCCATGAAGACTTCATGTGACACTCTCAATTCCTCGAGCCTGGCAAAGCCTGACGGTCTGGGCCATAATGCGTACTTCACTTCAGCAATGAATTGGCTTGAAAGCATTTCAGCGCGGCTCACACATATTCATTCAAACCAGAAACCGACTGGTGTCCAAAGTTATTTGGATGGTTTTTGCTTAGATGTGTTTGCTGTGTTTTTGGATTTGTTGTTTTAGGGCGTGGGAACGCGTGTGCTTACAATATACATGCGTGACAGTTCCCTCCGACGCGCTGAAATGTCCGTTCTTACGCTATGTTTGGACATGTAACAGGCAGGAAATGCGTGACGGTTGCCTGCGACGCATTGACATGTGCCTTGTTACGCTATGCTTGGAAGTGTACCAGGCGCCAAGTCCGTGACAGTTGCCTCCGACACGTTGACATGCGTGTTCTCTCACCGGGTTTAGAAGCGCTACACGCAGGAAATACGTGACAGTTGCCTCTCGTGCATAACAGCGTACCGTTCTTTAGTACATGAGCGGTGTAAAAAAGGCGGGCATTGCATCACAGTTGCCAACGATATAAATTAGGCTTTTTCATTTTTTGATAAGAGCGAGGGGGTGGGGGTGGGGCACAGCCGCCCCCATTTGCAACCATTGAGCAATGTGGTGCTTGTTGCTGAGGCTGTGCTATTGGACATAATTCGGGTTTTTGGTTTAACAGCACAGGGGTGGGGGGGTGCAGTGCCTCCCCAATTTGCTAACCATTGAAACATGTGGCGTCTGTTGGTTAGGATTTGACCAATGAAATACAAGAATCGCCTTCCGCATAGAACATGGATTGTCAATATCCTTTCATTATAGTGAAGATACAAAGGGCGTGAACGCCTCGCTGAAGCAACAACCAACCCCTCATGCACAATATCGTCCAACGCTGAATCCCAAATGGCTACAAATCGAAGCAAGCTTGTGTCAAAGCAACACGTGGACAAAACTAAAAAACAATGCAAGCTGCAAAGCTACATCCAGTGACATTCACGGGCGTGCAGCAATCGTGCAGTTGCAATGACCGTATGGTTGCAGTAAATCTTGTTCCCGTGTCGTACGTCTACTTCCTACTTCAGCTCTCCTGCCACAGCGCCAGCTTGTGCCATCATATCGATATTATGCCTGGTGCGCCTTCGCCGCCGATCAAGCCATGCCTACTACTGTGGCTCAGATGATGAGTAAGCTTTCCATCAAAATACGAAATCCTCTCAACAAACCAAGCCGTCCAAACCTGCTGTAGAAGTCGGTCAGGAATGTTTCCAGGAGATTAGCAGTCCTACCTGGCCATACATGCCCGCCCTGCCCCCCCCACCACCTTCCAACCATCCAGAAACAAAATGGCAGCATGCAATGCAAGCTCCAGCCTCGGATTGCTGATTACGAGTTCATTTTGTATGCCCGCGGCCGTCCTTTAAACCAATGTTGGTGAAACCGTTACCTCCCAAGACCGAATGGTGATTAAAGGAGCGCGTTTAGCAAGTTCGTGCTCCCAAACAATCGGTCAGAGTGCCCTGCAACAACCGCGGATACTTGAAAAAATGTCACCGCCAGGCTTTTCCATGCGGTTCCTGGACTGTCTACTAGCTGTCGTAGACCTCAAGGGACCTGCACATGTCGTTTCCTTGGCCCTCCCTCTGATCGCTCCACATACACTGCACATCCACTTCCCCCTTGACATGTTAATTGTTGACTTGCGGGATGCACACTGGAATGTTTAGGATCAGGGGCGAGGAGGATGCTCTAGGATCGGGGCCTGGGGAATGGTGACGGACTTCTCTGATTAGAGGGGGGATGAAAACTCAAAAGATTGGGATTTCACTTTTGCGCTCGGGTAAGGCTTACTGTAAGAAGTACCTGCCTCCATGTTAGAGGTTCACGCTGTTCCATCCTCCAGCTAACTCTAGACTCGTGACTTCCGCCTTCATGGAAAGATCCAGAAGTAGCACGCCATGTTGCTGTGTGTTTGGTAGAAATCCTTCTGGTTTTTTGCTTTCTCTAGCGTCCCTGGAGGTGCAAAATGTCTGGCAGGCCAACATGGAGGAGTGGATCCACAAAAACGCCTCAACAGGACAACAAGAATCATTCATCTCAAACCCTCCAAAACCCAGTAGATCACGCGGCATGTATTCTCTACCTTCTTTTCAAGAATAAGTCTACCAATATGCCATGATGCCGACCTGCCCGAAGGCAAAGGGCCAACTTAGCTGACTTAGACCATGCCCGATGCCTGATACAATGATATTAGTAATGTTTCTCACTGAGCTCTGCCAGCCCGAGTACCACATCCTCATGCCTAGCTGCCTAGGTGTCCATGGCCTTGTCCTCAAAGGTCTAGTCCTCCGGGCCTCGTGCTGTTAAGCGTGAATAGAGTTGTTCTAAACCTCCGTTTAGCTCACGCCTCGCAAGCTTACAAGCTAAGGCATCCTTAATGAGGCAATGTTAGTAAACCGCTTCATTTGGAGAAGCAAGGCGGCACCAAATTTCGGGGTTGCATCCCAAGACGACAGGAGAGTCTGAACGCTGAAGATTGAATCTATGCGCTGCTATTTGGGGCTCTCTAAGCCGGATCACCTCATTCGAGCTCATCAAGCAGAAGGCGAATTCTGATTCACGTTGTCCCTTGAGTTTGTAAGACAGTGACCAGAACAAACCAGGAACGTTGCACACAATGGTGATCATAAATCTTGGTCGTCTTCCGAGCCTCGCTGCAACATTGCGGATCAGGCTGCCACGATGGGACCTTGCAATCTTCAGGAAGGCGGATCACAAGAGTCAGGAATAGGCTACTGGGTATGATATGCACCCGCGTATAATATCGATTCGACCACCATGTAGGGATCAGAAGACTTGGACCTTCGGCTTCTTTTGAAATGCATTGGGTTAGGCTCTTTTTGGGACACGTTCTCGTCGAGAGTCTCCCCCTCATGATTACACACGCTTCCCGATTTGAGAAGCCCCAATTTCTTGCAACTTACTCAAGGAGGAACGCTAGTGCTGAGGAATCTCATTTTCGTGGAAGTAAGGGGTCGCTTGCCTTATCCGAGGGCTTGGATTCAAAGACGATGTAAGTGATCGCAGATAAATTTCAATACGTGTTAGCGTGTGACCCTTGTGATCTACCAAGCCCCAAGAGATAAGAAGCCCGCCACACTATAATTAGGTCCAGGTCAACATGAGGTTCATGAGTTCTTGTAAACTGGAATACTGTAATTGCTATGGTATAAAAGGTATGATGGGTGGCGCAAGATTTCATCCATACACCGTATCATTGCGAATAAGCTTTGGCTGCGGTTTCCACCTTGTGATTGTGGCCTGTCAGCATGCGCGGACCAGATGCTGTGTCCCACCGCCATGTCGGAACTTCATTCCTCCCTTCTGCTACAACAAATCCTGTCCACAAGCCCGCATCTCACAGAGCAGTCAGTTCCACTCGGAAAACTGTATGATTTCAAAGTGCGCTCCATTACAGATCTGCTTGCAACCAAACTCCTGGCTGAAGGATCTGCGCCAGCCTGCCAATTGATGTCAAGTTTGGGTCTCCAGGCTTCTGTTACCAGCAGCCACTCCCTTACATGGATGACAGAACAAGTATAATATGTCGTTCGTAAGTGTTCAGTGCTGTGAAGCCCGCGTGGTCCGTGGCTCAGTTCCTGTGATGGGTCAATTTGGAGAATCAAGCTTGTAAAGCTTGCAGGCAAGGGCAAATCAGTCTC